GAGCCACAAGTGAAGATATAGATGACATATGATATTCTGTAGAAAAAGCCTGAAATATCATAATGATCATAATTAGACTATGAAAACTTTATGAGGTCCATGATATTACCCCTGCCTTAGCCGTCAATTAATGTAGTAACATCACAGACATCAAAGTGATGGAAGACAGCATTTCTGCGCTAGGTAATGGAACAAGGTTATAAGAAATATATGAACTAAGGTGTGTCTTTGGAAGAAAAATACATGAAAGGAAGCACATTTGACTAATGTGACATTAATAGACATTCATAATGGCACTCTGCTTAGACAGTGGGTGCATGCAGCAAAACTGTACATGTAAATTAAAGTATATTGTTTGCAAAATTATTTCAGTGGGGTGCTAAATACACCCAGGTATTAAAACAACAATCACAGTCTAAAGAAACAGTACATACTCCATAACTTCCTACTTTTTATATTCGCACTTCTCTAGAGAGCATATTACACTGTATAAAGGAAATTTAGAATGCAGGACAGAATAGAGCAGGTGTTCATGTGAGACGTTTCCCATCCTTATTTGTGTTCCAGCGGAGTGTCAAAATTTTGATTACTAGCTATATTTATGTGTTCGTACATTATGGGAAATATCCGTATATTTCCTACAATTTCTAAGGAAATCTAAGCTTATGCAGACTGACAAAAATTGCCATCGTATACTGTATGAAATTGATGATACTGTAATCCTGTGATAAAATCAAGACCTCATATTTTCATATTTATGTGTTACTGTCATGACTATTAATAGTCATCTGACTGTAAAATTGCAGCATTTTCATCTCTAGGGTTTTATGAATGAAAATGCCTTCCACCGTCAGTCTTCCCCGGCGACCCCGAGGCTGAATGATGGATGAATAGGTAAATGGAAGTGGTATGCTAACATGCTAACGCGAAGCATGCCAAAAATTGTCTAGCCCTCTAGCCAGTGCTGGAGTGCTAAAATGTGGGTAAGGTACGATTGTCTGCCTACTAGCCACAGCTTCCTTTATAATAATAACAATAACCATAATACTACTACTACTACTACTACTACTACTACTAATAATAATAATAATAATAATGATACTTATTATTTTTATTATTATTATTATTATTATTATTATTAAAGACTGATCCTTTAAAGTTGAAAATGAAAGAAAATCAAGACTGGCATAAATGCCATGCCCTTTCAGTATAATTGCCTCCACTGCACTTACACATCCAAATGGAAATGCATGATAATTTCAGTCTCTGCATGATGTATGATCAATAATGCCAAAATCAGTGCACATATAATAATTTCGACACATGCAGTATTTTTGCATATGTCACATTTGGCAAGCTAAGGCTAAAGGAGGCTGACAGAGAGCCATGGGCCTCGTTAAAGGGGACTGTCACCCCCTTTCCCATGCTTGCTGGCTCAGTACCCATGAGCACTACTTTAACTGAGAGGGAGGAAGCATGAGAGACGGAAACCATGGGCACATGAAACGCCTTCTTTTGTCTTTGAACCTATGAAAAATTCAGTAGCCAAATAGTCCAGGGAAAACTGACATCAGAGAAAACTGTATATAACAATGTTCTACTGCAAATACTGCAAAGGTTGTTCAAACCTTTAATACACATTTGTGTTTTTTAACATTTAAAACCCTATCTTAACTAAAAAGCTTCAGATCTGTCCTATTAATTAAAATGATACATTCCTTTACAAAGTCACTTCAAATGACACTGTAAACTTAGCTCCTGCATGACAAGATTTGCATTATGAGTGTTTTAATTACTATGTGTAACTTCCTCCTGGGCACCTTGCAGTAATTGGAGAGCTGTTTTACAACATTTAATCATACATTGGTTGGCCTTCCCTAGGTATATACTTTCACTTCTGGAATAAAGTGCAGAAAACGATTAAATATGTGAGCTCTTTTATACTAAATGATCTCAATTAAAAGCCTCAGAAACCTCAGAATGATATTTCCCACTTATAAATATAAATATTTGCCACTGATACTTTTTTCATTATACAGTAAAACCTCGGATTGCGAGCATAATTCGTTCTGAAAACATGCTTGTAATGCAAAGCACTCGTATATCAAAGCAAATTTTCCCATTAGAAATAATGGAAACTCAGATGATTTGTTCCACAACCCAAAATATTCATATTAAAATGATTAATACAAAATATAAAGTAAAAATACATAAAACAAACCAAACTGAACTTTACCTTTGAAAAGAATCATGGATGGTGTGAAGGAGACGAGAGAGAGGAGAAGAGGAGGGTTATTTTGGGACGACTTTCACTATAACTAATGGAATCACTGCTATATGTTGGCTCACTGGAATTTTTTTCCTTTTGTGTGACTTTAACAAGGAACCTATCCAATGACAGCCGCTTTTGCCTCCTTTTTGATTCCGCGGAAATGTGACATTGCATTGTCGTTAAACAGATTCATCGCTCGCACTGCTACACCCTTATTCGGGTGGTGCTTTTCTACTATATTTTAACTATACGAGTGAGGCAGGCCGATTGAGACCGAGCATGGGAGACGATTACCCACAATCCCACAGCGAGAGAGAGAGAAGAACCATTGGTTCAGTTGTGACACTCGCCAGACAAAGCGTATACATAATACTCGTATTGCAAGACGTTGCTCGTTTATCGAGTTAAAATTTATTTAAAATTTTTTGCTCATCTTGCAAAACACTCGCGAACCAAGTTACTTGCAATCCGAGGTTTGACTGTATATTAATTATATTTAAATAAAGCTGTCTCTCCTCAAGCTAAGCAATCTCAGTGCTGCTTTGCTTAGGCTGTTCTGACATTGAGTGTTAACTAACTGCCATTGCTTTTAACTTCTGACATTGCCAGTGATTAATACATTTTTCTATTCGATAGTGATGAATAAATGGACTAAAAACAAACAAACAGAACAGACGACATGTAGAATAAACACCTAAATTAACAATCCTAATATAGAGATCTCTGTAAGTGCAGTTTATAATTCACCTTCTACAGTATGTATACAGTCATGCATCACTTAATGACAGGGATAGAAATGTGTCATTAGGCGATTTTGTCATTGTGTGAACATCATAGAACGTACTTACACAAACCGAGATGGTATACCCTACCACACACCAAGGCTAGAGTAAACTTTTTTCTGAAAGTGGACTACTCATTAAAAAATGATAAAAAATTATAGTATAGTAAATGCATAAACCGCTAACATAGTTGTTTATTATTGCGTCAAGTATTATGTACTGCACATAATAGTACTTAGGCCTACTATGCTTTCATATGACTGGCAGCGCAGTAGGTTTGTTTACTCCAGCATCACCACAAACAGGTGAGTGATGCTTTGCGCTCAGCATTACTAGGCAATACGAATTTTTCAGCTCTATTGTAATCATCATATATGTGGTCTGTCACTGAATGAAATGTTACGTGGTGCATGACTGTAATGTCTATGGGCTCTGTTTTCCACCAGCGCAAATCGCGACGTTAAGTGGTTTTGCTAGTTTCGTACCAGCGCATTGCTGTTTTAAGGCAGTGCGATGTCATTGCACTTTTGACCAACAAAAGCCACGTCTAAAGTGAGTGGTGCATTGTTAAATGGTAAATGGTGCACTAATGGTGTTTTGTTATTTTGTTTTATTTCATTTATATACGTTTTATTATAGAGTACATCTGGTCCTTTCACGTAATCATACTGTTTAATGAAACACCAAAAGAAAAACAATATTTAATAGGTAAGGAACAAACCCTATCATTAAAAAAATCTTTTGAGTTCATTATCAGAATAAAGCGCATACTGTAATTGAAAGGACAGTTGGATTGCTGAAAATGCATTTCAGAGATTTAGATAAGTCAGATGGAACATCACAATACAGCCTTCAGAAGGTTGCTGCATTCTGTGTGGTATGTTGTGTAACACTGCCATGCGTGATGGATGTCCGTTGGACATAAATGAGGACACATTATAGGACTTCAGAAGGCGTGATGCTGAACTGCATGTGCCGATGCCAACAAAGGAGTGTATGCTGGCAGCAGCGTGGGCAAGGAGGGGTCAGCTGGCCGAGGAGCTGAATCGTCTGTAGCCTGGTAAGAAATCTCAACTGTGAGAGTAGAAAAATAACAGCCCCATTGCCTTTTATTTTAACATTTTAAAACACCTTAAAAACTGTAGGTTGTGTTTTGTTTGAACAAAGATCGCACTTTTATTTATATCTTGCAAACTACAGACCCAAAATTTAAATAAAAAAAACACACAGGCATATTTAAGTCCCCGTTCCCAGCTGCTTTGCTCGCTTGGCAGTGAGCTTCCCCGTCTTCTCACACCACTGTACCGGATGATCTGCTGATGCTGCAAACAAGGACACACTCGCTGCTACCTCAACCCACACCTGCTTCACCTCTAAAGGCTTCGGTGGGACAGTGCATGAGCACCAGGCTGCAGAAGGGACCTGAGAGCACGTGTTCCACTCTCCAGCCCCAACATGTCATTCCCGAAGACGCAATGATCTTACGAGCGGATCCGTTGTTTACGTTTCGCTACTGTGCCAGTCATTCTTTACACGTGTGTGGTCTGGGTTAATAATTTATAGAATAAGTATTACATCATAATGTACAGCTTTCTTAACTACTGACAACACATCTTTGCCTTAAAGTACGTCTGTGAGTAGTTGTAGGTCACATAAATAGGTCTCATATTAAACAATTCTGCCCATCTGCAGAATACTCGGGCAATTATAATATCAATCCACAGTAGAGGATTAAACAACCCTTTTGTACCTTGTGCAGGCACAAAGTCAGTTTTTTCCACCGTCAAAATAGCTAAATGGATTTGGAGACGCCCATTGCTGTTATTTCTGCTTCGGGCTTTATACTTTGCATTATATCGTCAAAATAGAGCCCTATAGGTTTTTACAAAGTGTATGTGATGTTTATGGAGCCTGAAGCATTTAACTGATGTTAATATCATACTCACCATCTCTTCTGTTGAGCTTGGCAAAACCAGGACTGTGCGTGCTGGAAAATTGGGAGGAGCTGTAGAATGAAGTCTGAGGCAGAGCGAAGACAAGTTGGCTGTCACAATTTTCTGTGAAGAAAAACAAACAGCGCCATTAGCCCTTCTGTACAGCCACTGCAACTTTTAAAACATCAAACCATTTATTCATTATATGCTTCAGCATGTAACCGAGTAAGAAAATACAATAATAATATCATTACCTTATCTTTCAGCATTGTCTTAAGGACTCGGGAGAGCTACAAAGTAACTGTGCAATTCTCTGGTTTTTAACTTTTTTGACCCCATTTCAAGCTTAAGCTAACCCATAATTTCACTTGTGTTATTGACAACAATAACATGGCCTGCGGGTCTGTTACATCCCATAAGGCCTTTAGAATGATAAACATGTCAGATAAATTGATACAATTTACTTCCATTAACAGCAAATTGCATATAATTTTTAAAGGAATGAAGCGTAATAAACATTCTTTTTCTAACAGGCTGGTCCACCATTTAAGACACAGTCTTTGAAATAAACATATGAATGCATGGCAACCATCATTTTACAGCAGGACATTACAACAATCTGGCTGTAACATGATACATTTCAAAAAATAACCTACACATGACATTTATTGCTTTCTTTAATGCCTCTTATCTGATTTCCCTGACCTACATTTGACCTCCATCGGATCTGTTTTTTTATTTTTAAATAGTGAATATAAATTTTAGAACATTATTAATGTGGAGATGTATCGATGCAAGGTACTTTAACAACATGAATAAGCAAAAGAAAATAAGACTGGTTCCAAAAACTAATGTATCTAAAAAAAAACTGCACAACAGATGAAGTAACCAGACGGTTTTGTTTAGTGGAATAAATCCTGGAGAGAATGTCTAGAATTTTTCAAATTATCGAGCTAAAACAGTTGCTTAAAAAAAAAGTAATTTTCTTTGAGGAATTTCACATTTGTTTCTGCACAAAATCAGCCATGCTGAAAACCAGAAGGCTGGGAGCAGACAGAACACCAAATGCCGCAAGTATCCAAATGAAATGAACGCAGAGAATAAATTTACCCCATTAATTAATTCTTGGGAGTTATATAATATTTTATATGCAGACACATACACATGCACACACACACACACACACACCAAGGTTTTCATATAAAGAAGGGTGTCTGTACAATTGAGTCTTTAGTATTATATTTAAATTTGCTTCTTATTTGCCCAGTGACAGCTTCCACCCATTTATGGAGTTAGATATCCCACTGGTGCAATTCAGGTTAAGTGCCTTTCTCTGGAGTATTACGCCGGCTCTACTCTTGTGACTTGAACTGTCAGCATTCAGGTTACATGCCTACATACTTATGCCACCTACTGTTCTCATTTAGCTCAGTAAAGCTCCATCTATGTCAAACATTTTAGTATATGTAGCTGCAGTGTAGTTCTACGGCCACTCCTACTAGAATAAGAAAGGTAAACTCACGCTTGTACACAGTCACACTTTTAAAACAAATACCTATTGAATGAACATCTCAGATGGCACATCCCATTTGCCCCTGCATATCGTTCTCATGCAGCAAAATTTAAATATGAAGATACATAACTGATGCTTTCATGCACACAGAATACCAGCAAAATACATACGATTTGTAAAAAGAAAAATCTGCTAGTCTTTCAGAAAAACACATTAGCGCAACATGAAAAATTATGAGAGACTCTAGTTATCATGATTAAGGTTTATCTATATATTTAGCGATAGAATGGATGATTGACCCATTATCTATATATTGAATAATTAATTGATTCTGCATTGCATTCATATATGTATTCAGAGATACCATGAAAACAACAGTATAATGAGATAGCTGGGGCTACAAGTAATTCTAACAATCAATGAAGTGGTTTTCTTTGTAATATCATTCCACTTCTTTTGTTCCTTTTACGAAAATATATGCAGGTATATTAGCTGTGAACCGCACAAGTAATTTGCAGACTTTAATTGCCATTTGTTAATCAAACAGTAGCAGATTTTATGGAGCTAAGCTCTTGTTGAATGCACCTAAATACAATGAAATGCACACTTATAGAAACAAGACGGTAATAATGTTTTATTGTTTATGTTTCTACGGGTAAGATTTGGTTGTAAATTGTTTTAATTATATCCAAAGCCTTTCTCCTTTTATCAAGATTTTACACAGGAATCTTTATTCATAAAATTTGATGTAACTTGGAGGATTGTTAACAGGACTGTAAAATGAGTTCAAAAATGAAGTAACCATAGTCAGAGTTACACCTTTACCCATTCACAAAGAATATTTATCCATGTACTAAAGAATCTCAATGCATCAATTAAATGCCATCCAAAATATATTTTCTCCGTGCAACACAAAACGGACAGGATCCGCCCATGTCTCATGCCGAGGGAAAGACCCAGATGCAGATCAAGTTCAGGAAGAACCCTCATAGGGGGTTATTTCAATGGGAGATCATGTTCTGCAACAATGGCTGGACTGAGGAAAATAGGATTGGGAAGCACTTAAATACAGGACTAACAAATGAATGACACGATGCTGAAATGCATGGTAGCATCAGAGGTAAGGAGCAAAAGACAGCTACTGTAGGAATAATTAATTAATAATTGTTCTGGAGGGCCAACATCTGCAGGGGAACCAGGAGGTGTGGAGGAAGCCACCAATGGGGAACCAGGAGACATCGAGGAAGTTGCCAACGGGAAACCAGGAGGCATCAAGGAAGCCACCAATGGGGAACCAGGAGACATCGAGGAAGTTGCCAACGGGAAACCAGGAGGCATCAAGGAAGCCACCAATGGGGAACCAGGAGACATCGAGGAAGTTGCCAACGGGAAACCAGGAGGCATCAAGGAAGCCACCAATGGGGAACCAGGAGACATCGAGGAGGTTGGCAATGGGGAACCAGGAGTTGTTGAGGAGGCCACCAAAGGGGGACCAGAAAGTGATGAGGAGGCTGCCGACGAAGGACCAGTAAGTGGTGTGGTGTCGGCAGGCGAGGAGGCGAGGTCAACCCATGAGGAGGGCACTGGTGAGGCCAGAGCAGATGAGGAAGGCACCAGCCAGATGCTAGCAGGTGGCAAGGAGCCTGAGGACAAGGCAGGTGCCAGTGAAGAACCAGGAGGTGGGGCAGGCACTGGGGAGGAACCAGGAGGCGAGGCAGGCACTGGGGAGGAACCAGGAGGCGAGGCAGGCGCTGGGGAGGAACCAGGAGGCGAGGCAGGCACTGGGGAGGAACCAGGAGGCGAGGCAGGCGCTGGGGAGGAACCAGGAGGCGA